TAGGATGGCTTCTGTTCGTCGCACCTTTCTTCCTCTAGTCCTGCTGGGCATGGCTGCACTGTACGGAGGCCCAGCATTTCAGGCAGTTCAGTCGCAGGGTTGGCCCATGCATGCAGAGTTTTGCATCACTGCAGGGAATGAGGAACTGCACTCTTGTTCATTGAAGGCAGCAGGTTCTCGCAGGCCAAAACCTGGGTGAGGAGACAAGGTGGCAAACCCTAAAGAATATTTAAAGATCAGCTGTTGTTCCGATGCTGCGGAAATCATCGGTCGGAACTTGCCATGGCTCTTGTCTCGACCATCTCATGCCCCTGGTGCTGCACCACATGAGGTGTGCCTGGAACATGAACGAAGCATTTGTCAGTGCGCCCCGGACAAGCAACAATGAGGCGACATTTGAAGATATAGCGAAAGATCAGTGACAACTCCGGGGAAGTTTTTGCGTATCCTGGTTACTTGCACAGCATCCAACAGTCGTAGTCTGTATTCCTCTTCTGTGCAGCCTACATCAGCCTACAGTAACAGCGTTTTTTACAATCGTGGAACGATGCGTATGGTTTCAAGCCCCTTTGGTGTTCGTGCAGGTCATGGGTCAGCAGAAGCTTAGAGAAGGCATATGATCAGAGATGAGCCACAGGGAGAGCCGGTAGCATTGCTTTGGTTGAAACTCTTTTCATGCCGATGTCAAAGCAACTTATATAATTAGATTCACTTGTGAACTTATATACTCATCCTGTTTCTTTGGGTGCGGCAGAGAAACTTAGATGATCACAGTGAACTCGAGTCAATTGAAGGACGGGTTAGGTTCAATTCAAATCGAACTCGCTAGGCGCAGTCTTGGGATTGGCCACTGGATTGTTGACTGCAGAGCCAGCTCATGCTGGTGGTGCATGGGGCCACAGTATGTGCAGAGTGTGAGAGCCTCTAGATATCCAAGAAGCTGCTGAGCACCTAGCAGAGTGGCCTAGTGCCTTCGTGTTTCTTGACATGCTCTAACGAAGACTCCTTCTGGATTGTCTAGTTCCTCACGCATAGGACACTGAGGGTGGCAGTGTCTAAAAAATTGAAAACACGGGGCTGCTCCCACATCGATCACCTCAAGTAGTGTCAGAGTAGCACTGAGTAGTCCAAAGTAGTACCTCTCATAGCCCAGAGTCAAGGCCGAGATCACTGTGTAGCCCAGTATGGTCACTGCCTTGATTAGCGCAGAGTAGCTATACTTCTGAGTAGCGGAGACTAGCTCAAGCCTACAACAATCCACTTCAAGGGTTGCTACTGCACGAGAGGTAGTGAGCACCCTGAGGAGTAGAACTCTGAATTTCACTGTAATGTCGAGATCCTCGAGTCCCTGACTCACAAGCTTTTAAGGTCATGGTAAAAGAGAACTCGAATAGATCCCAGTGACATAAGCCACAGAGATTGCGTTGCATGTGCTTTCGTCCACCAACCTTTCGTCCACCCCTCCCTGTCAAGTTTGTTTTTCATGTTGGGTGCTTTCATGGTTTGCGCCCAAAATATATTTTGTATATAATTGAATAGGGGATTAGGGGATTGCATTTTTTACCAAATATTGTTGAGCGGATCCCATCCAATCCACCAATGCACAGATGCACAAAAGCATAGGCACCACTGATATTTGTTTCACTTGTTTGTTACCAGAAGCCATGGGGAACTAGAAACTGCCTAAACAAACGCAGCAAAGCCCTTCCAGCAGTGGATCTATGCAGGCCGAGGAGCATTTTTTCGGACCAGGTAAATCCAGGCAATTGTAATTGAAGGCAACAGAATTGATGGTATTTGCTGAGAGGAGCCTATCCGAAAAGCACCGATAAGCACCATGGACCTGTGCACCGAGGGGCCCTTCTTTGATGAGATCCTCCCTTATGCGATGAGCATCAGCTTTGCCATCATTTGGGCAGGAAAGCTCGGATTGGCACAAGAGCAAGCTCTATACCGAGCTACACTTTTTGTGAGAGCTTCATGTCCTCATGTCTTTCAGCTAAGGGCATCATTTTGGGCTTCGTGCTCTTGCGTTTGCAGGAAGCCTTCCCAGAGCATCTCAGCAAGCAAAAGTTAGAGATTGCTTGTGAGGCCGTTTGCGTCGTGATTGAGCTGCAAAAAAGAGCCACACATGCTGCAGTGTTGAATCTCAGGTGAGCTGTGGGCGGCCAATTTTTCACGATGCATTTGCTTTGACTGCCGAGGGCGTATCAAAACAAAGTCTGAACA